CCTACATGGCCTATGATGGGCTCTTAAGCCCTCCTCTGAGGCTCAGACTCTTCAGCACCAAAGGATACTTAACTATCATTCCTAAGGACATAATTACTTGTGAAATTTTCTCTATAAACTGCTGTTGAGAAAAATATATGAGCATTTTCAAAGGAAGAGAATAAAGTATGCTGTCACTAATTCGTTATGAATTTAACTATTTTTAAAAAGGGAAATGAAGTAAATTCCTACAGAAAAAATCAAAATATTTCAGACACTTCTATATAAACATCTGTAATATTTGAAAGAATTCCAAATAAGCAGAGAGAGAGAGAGAGAGAGAGAGAGAGAGAGAGAGAGAGAGAGAGAGAGCACAGAGAGAAAGGGAGAATGAGAGACAGAGAGTGAAAGATGGAGATAGAGAAATAGAGACAGAGAGGAAGCAAAAACTGCCAGACAGGGCTCTTTGTGTAAAGGAAACAAAGGAGCTGTCTTTTCATGGAGCCCAGAAGTGTATCTTCTAGACTATTTCCCTGTTCTTTGAAGAGATTGGCCATCAAAAATAAGATCCTTTTTGATAGTGACATTGTTATGGTGCTAATTCCAAATAATGAAAAGAGAATGTTTTACATAACTGACAGAAAAAGCAAATTGATAAAATTAATTCATTCTAGAGGAAAATGATATCATTCCGGTCATCCAGAAGAAACTAGGTCAACTAGAATCTTTCCATTGGCATTGTGCTGGAGTGCATTTTAAGTTGACATCTTTTCTTTAAGCTGCTGTCTAGAGTTGTGTAGTGGTTGCTATAAGTCCCCAAAGGTTTTAGGTGGAGTTCATTCCATCGATGCATAGTGCTGTCCTCACAGGCAACCAAAAGGCATGCAATATGTAGGTAATATTTCCATAAATCATTTCCAATGAGCACTTTCTTAAGGACATTTCATATCCCAAAACATGAGCAGCCGGCTAAGTGCCCACACACAGCTTTAAAAGTGCTCATTAAGGGGAATTATTTCCTCCTCCTTTAATAAAGAACTTACTTTTCAATGACTTTTTTAAAAAATTTCAAGTGTAAAACCACCTTAAGTGGCCAACATAGTCTAGGATCCTTCTCTGGGAGAACTACTGGAATGTCAGAATATTCAGGTAGTGGTGGTTTGGAGCCATAGGGATGGTGATTTTTCTATCATTTGAATGTCATAGAGGAAAATAACAAAATATGAATGATTTTCACTCATTTGGAAGTTATTAGTAGACTTTCTTTTGTTCCATTGAGAGAGAAGAAAATATGAAGTTACAGTGAACCCATATGGCCAACAGAAAACCCCATTTAATTGCTTTATTGCCAAAAATGTTAAATAACTTCCTGAAGAGGTAGTTCAAATGAAACATATGGCAGCTATTAACAAGGGACCCTAACAAATCCAAAACTATGCTATCCATGGGAACTTTCTCATAAGCAACAATTGTACTTGGTATGTTCTTTCCACAAACATTTGATGAACAGCTACTTTGCACTTGGGTATATACAGCCATCATTGATGAGAAGTCTCTGGTAAGCTCCAGAATAGACAATTGAACACTCTGGGACTTCAAAACAAAGACCCAACTGTACTTGTCATGCCCATCTTGGAAGTCAAGGGTAAAAAGACAGTCTTCTGAACTCCTCCCAAGTGTCCAATGCCTGAACCATTCCATTTCTACTTGGATTATCTTTTGTTTTAAGATTTATTTGTATTTTTATTAATGTATACATGTGTTATGCAACATATATGGGTGCCCCAGGATACAATAAGAGGGTGTCAGGTTAGTTATTCAAGGAAGGTGTTGGAAATCAAACTTGAGACCTCTGTAAAAGCAGCAAGTGCTCTTGATCACTGAGTCACCTCTCCAGCCCTGCACCTGGGGACTGCTAATCATCTACTTCCTAGTCATTTCTTTCAACACCATGCCAGGGATAGAGCTGATCACTGTCACTCAACATCCACTGTGTGGAACTATTTTTTTGTCTTTTCATGTGTCTTTGTCAACTAGATTATGAATTCCAGATTAAAGAAAATAGATTTTGTACCCAAGATATTGTAAGACATGTAATTAAGAATCAACAAAAACTTTAATTAACTGAATACTAAGTGTCAACATTTTCTAATTACTTCAATGCCTTACATCCCTGCCCAATTTCACAAATTTAATCAATTTATGCATAGATCACTTTCTGGAGAGACAGTCTGCTTTCAAAAGCAAGTCAGTGGAGAGCTAGCCAATTATGATGTGGACTTGCTTGAAAAGAGAGATTATCACCATCTAGACACATTAAACTTTGACTCTCGTGTTTTCTCTACTTTGTAATATGACTGCTGCAGTTGCTTAATTGAAATGAGATTTGGAAAATTAAAACAGCATGTGGAAGATGGTAAAATTCCAAAATAATCAGCATTAGCCACATGAAATATGAACATGGGGCATATTAAGGGTAAACTCCATGATTATAATTTTATTAAATATTCTACATACTAAGGATACATTTTTATAATCAAATAAAATATGGGAAATGTCTGCCTGTTGCTAGTCAACTTGTAGTGTGGGGCAAGAGTTTTAATTTATCTTAAATGCCCAAGCTATAAGAAGAGGACAATTGCCTAATTTCTAGTGTTCAAAACAAATATATGCATATGTATGTATATGCAATATACATATATATATATATATATATATATATATATATCAGTCAATTTCTTGACAGAGAACCTCACAGACTTCTTTCCTCCATCAACCAGAATGTTCTAATGAGTAGGCATGAAGGCCAACATCCCAAGGGGTATGTCCATAATTGGCCATAGGACCACACACAAGCTACTGTAATCTGTATGGCTTTATTTGATAGTTCTGAGGATTGAGTGGATTTGTGAAGTTTAAATGTTTAGCCTTCATGTACTAAACACTAAGTAAGTGTGAGTTGATTTCTACTGGGGTCTTCCTCCATGAATATCCTTTAATTCCCTGTCACCTGCATTCACAATGTTGTTAGCAATTTAAAGGCTTCTATTGCCAGTACTCTTAGTCACCAAATGGAACTTGATGTTAAAAACCCTTCCCATGAAGACACCATACAATTTTGTCACAGAACATGGGATGAATTGAGCTGGTATTGTCTGGAAGCTTGCTCACTGGTGGCTGGTCTTCATGGTACCAGAGAGTATTATGCAGTATGCTGAGGGGGAGAAGTCATCACAGTCATACCCAGCTGTGGATCCTAGAAGCTTTGATAATGAGCAGCCTGGCAAGATAACCCCATGAGTGTAATAGTGGCATGAATGTTATGGAAGTGACCAATGGTTATCTGATTGTACTTAAGGCACACTCCACAAGACACCATTCATACTGAATACTATAAACCTGTCCAAACCTCGTTGCCCAAGGAGGTCATAGAGAAACAACTACTATTATTTTGCTAAGTGGAAAAATGCTTTGAACTTCCTTCTAAATATGTATCCCTACTCTCATAGATTAGTGCCTCTCTCAAGCTTCATCAAGAAAGTCTTTTTCTGTGTGTGTCTTTCTCTGTCTGTCTCTCTCCCTGTCTTTCTCTCTGTCTATGTCTATTTGTCTCTCTGTGTCTGTCTCCCCTGTCTCTGTCTGTGGGTGTTTCTATCTCTCTTTGCTTCAATTCTCTCTTTCTCTCTCATATATTCACTACGAGTCACACATATAAGCACCTTTCTTGTCTTAGCTCTATTATTCCTGAAGACAAAAGAATCACTAGGTAGTCTGTAGTCAGAGGTTGTCACATAGAAATCTCAATGGATGGATCTCATAGACTTGTAAAAGCCTCTCTAATCTGTGTGCATACATACAGGTATACCCAGATGCTGTGGAATAATCCTATTGTACACTGTAAAGATTTTTCACTCAAATTGGTTTAATAAAATGCTGATTGGCCAGGAGCCAGGCAGGAAATATAGGCGAGGCAACAAAATTAAGGATGATGGGAAAGGAGAAGGGCAGAGTCAAGGGTCACCAGCCAGATGCAGAGAGAGCAGGAGATGAACATGCCATGCTAATAAAAGAACCCCTATGTGGTAGAGTATAAATAAAGATAAATATGGGTTAACTTAAAAATGGAAGAGTTAGCTAGTAACAGGCCTGATTTAAGCCCCAGAGTGGTTATTTGGGAGCTGGTAGGCAGGAGAGAAATGTCCGATTACACCCCCACACCCACTCATCTACATGCAACACACACACACACACACACACACACACACACACACACACACACAAAGTTAATGCCTCTTTGTTATTTTAGAAAAGAGAAATTAAGAACTAGAAATTCAAGCTACTTAATTCATTCTGGGTATTCACAAAGACTAGCCTTAATAGTTGTGCTTTTGGGACATTTCATTTTACCCATTCTGAGTCTTACGCTTAGAAAATAATAAAAATAATAATGAAATGGGATGGACTTTTTAACCTTTTATATCAATAAATTTAATCCATAGAATGCCTGCCCAGAGTAACAGTAAGTTAGCAAGACTGTTTCTTCTTCTGAGTACCTGAGATACCTTATAGAGGAAACTATATTCAGTTATCCCAGCAGCCCTATAAATACAAGAGGTTTTTCACCTGCTATAAAAGAGGCTGATAGCTCACTCAAGTGCTTACTGACAGTAGAGAAAGATCAAAGACTTGAAATGCCCAGACACTAAGTAATTTGCTTTGTGGGCCTCCCAAAAATAGGACAAAGAAATTCATCCAAAGTCAGACAATATATTAGCCTAATATATTGCCAATATCATTTAAAGACAATATGGAGAAATTCTAACTTCAGAACAGAAATCATTACTGAATGGTTGTGGCTCTCACAGCCATGCCTAATAGCTTCACAAACTGCTCCACAATGCTTATTTTTTCTAGTATCTGGATCTAGTTTTTACTACATTTATGATACAATAATCTTAATGATATTAGTTAATATTTTCTAGTAGGGTTGTAATTGTGTGCATCTCTTTTCTTTTTTTCAGGCTATTACATGTATTGGAGAAAAGGAAATGTCTGGTGAGTTGACGTTTGGGTTGTGTTTTCTCTTCTACCTATTTTAGAATGAAATTCCACCTTAAAATCGAAATCTCTCTAAGAATCTAAAAATGCAACAATCTCATTGATTTCTGTGGGAAATGTTATTGTTGATTTAGTAAATAAACCAGCTGTTCTCAAAATGTAAGAAAAATATGGCCTTTTAGTACCACATTGCAGGGTGTTAAAAGACTTCTTGTAGCCTTACAATTAGTGCAATTACAATTTTTTTCTCTCTCAGAGGGAAAAAAATTTGATGCGGATCAATGTATAGAGGAGTGGTCTTTGAAAGCTGATTGATGGTATTTATTGAGCTTTATTTTTGTAATCTCAAGTACAAATTGTACTTTGTAATCTCAAGTACGATTTGTTTGGTAGTCACAAATAGATGTACTTGATGGTTAAAATGGGCACTACATAATTGAAAGTCGTGAGGAGACAAATGGAACTGCTGCAGAAAAGATGCTCTTGATTTTCACTGGGATGACTGTAACTATTCCACAATATTGTGCAAAAATGAGAAAGGATTGATGAGAGTCATGAAAATAGGAAAAATTGGGCTGGAATTGGTTGACTTGTGTGCTTTAAAATCTATTGGTCTTTCTCAGTATGGTTTTATGCGTTCTACATAAAGAAAACAAAAAAGCAAAATGGAATGCAATACCAGTTTGAATGCACAGTGCCAACTTGAAGAATGTCACTTTGCAGACATGTGACCTTATTTAGATCATAGACAGATGTGTAATGTTTAAGAGCAGAAGTGAAGCCAAAAGTTGCATCCAACCAAAAGGAAGTATCATGATTTCAACTGCTCTGAGTTTAGGGCTTGTGGAATATGAGTTTTTATTTACCCATCTTTATGTATTTATTTGGAAGAAGGAGTGTGCATACCATAGCATGGGTATGGAAGTCAGAGGACAGTTTCTGGGAGTCAGTTCTCTCTTTCTACCACATGGGTTCTGGAATCATACTTGGGCCTTGAAGTTTGGTAGTGAATGCCTTCACCCAGCTGAGCCATCTTGCTATCTTCTTCAAATGTGGATGGTGATGTTCAAGTGTTCTTATGGGGATCTTTTCTGTGATCACACAAAGATCTTAGCTCTTTAATTCTGTGAGCTGAATTTATCTATCATGTTTAGTTGATGCCTGACTTCTTCACTCTAATAATATTGAGACGCCCTAAGAATAGGAAGACATGATTGTTGTAATTCTAAAAAGTGGTGGTACTGAGAGAAAGAAGCCATGCAACAGAGCTTGGGTGGAGGGTTTATTTTTTTAATAGGGGAAAATGAATGGGAGGAGGGGAGGGGGGAGACTGGCCTCTGGGGACAGGAATGGCAGAAGAAAAAAGAGGTGGGCAGGGGAGAAACAGGCAGAGATACAGAGAGAAAGGAACAGACAGACAGGGGGACAGAGAGAAAAAGAGAGAGATTGGAGGTAAGCAGGGCCCTTTTAAAAGGCCTTTAAAATGGAAGGTAGTGAATGTGCACAGGTGGTGCTCTTTGTGGCTGCAGCTGAGGGTGTGTCCTATCAGAACCCCAAGGGCATTCCAATACAGATGCCTGAATACTAACAATGATAAAAGTGGATCCAAGTTTCTGTGAATGGAAAATTAAACTCTGTGGACTCTCACCATGCAGATTAACTACAACTTCTAGGATCAGGTGATTTCAAAGTAAGTTGTTAAGCTGCACCATGTCTTCATGCAGATTTTGCTTGGCTGTCTAGTTATACAAGAATTAAATGGTTAAGTGTGTACATATACATCTCAAAGACAAAACAACTTAGATCTCCATTTTGTCTGGGGTTGTGACATTCTCTGTAATTCCCTAGATTAGCTGTTATTTAAACAAAGTGTATAACAGAGCAGTGTTGTCATCTTATTCCAGAGTGGTGCCAAATTCTTTCATTCTCCCAAGGAAACCAATCAAGTGTAATAGGAAGAAGGGGAGGATTGCCCCTGTATGATGAGACAGAGTAGCAAAAGAGTCAGCTCCTTCCTCTTCTACTTCAGTGGTTCCATTTGGACATGGGGGAGTGCTTAGTTGTTTATACATACAGGACAGGTGTGGTGGTACAATCTATAATTAACATTGAAAGCCTGATGCAGGAGGACAGCTGAGTCCAAGGAAAGCCTACACTACATAACAAATTGCAGACCAGCCTGTGGATTGCAGAGAGACCCTGTTCCAGTAAAAGAAGCAAAAGGGTCAACAAGTTGTCTCAGCCAGAAAAGGCACTACCACCAAGCCTGAAAACCTGAGTTCAATCCCTGGGACCCACATGGTAGAAGGACAGAAGTTGTGTTCTGACCTTCACATGTGCAGGAACACACACACACACACACACACACACACACACACACACACACACACACACACACACACACACACACACACACACACATACCCATACATACACATATCATACATACATACATACATACATACATACATACATACATACAGGTTTTCCTAGGATCTCTCTGAAGAACTAAACCAGCTGAAATATGTTACCTTGCCCAGTCACAGGCACTTGGATGTCCCATATCACACACTTGATTCACCCTGAATTCATTGAAGTAGAACCTGTTTTATCTGTGGTAAAACACATACATTACCATTATATATTCCTAAATGAATCTTTCTAGATTACTGGGCAAAGTGTTATGCTTCTGAGGAAATATGATTTTTTGAGAATACAAATGTAAGAAAGAGCTTATGTCATTAAAAATTAGTGAGCTCACCTGTCAAGATAACCCCTTGTACTTGAATATCCTGTGAATAGTGGTAATAGATCCTGTGATCCAAAGAGAATATTATTTACTTCAAAAGTTGTGACAGAGTGAAGCATCTAACTCTTCTCTTTCTACAGTTACCACACCCTATGGAAAACATTGTAAATGCTTAGTATATGAGTGAGACTCTCTTTATCTCCCTAATCTACGACCCTCTACTTTTAAATTCCCACTGTAGAGAAGGGTGACCATGAAGGCAGAAGGCTTACTCAGTAATTGAGCTCTTTGACAGACAGGATTAAAACTTCCTATCTACACTAAGGCTGCCTGTTTTCTTTTTTCTTTCCATATTTTTTTTTGGTTTGTTTCTTGTTAAATGAAGGCAGCCTATTGTTCCTTAGTAAGAAAATCTATTTTTAACTTGTGTGACCTCTCATCCAAGCCAACTGGAACCAACTCCACCAGGCCTCATGGGGCTCTAAACAAAGCCATTTGTAGAACCTTTCACCCAACATGATTGCATAGCCTGGTGTTGTCTGGTGTGCTCTCCTGGTAGCCATCCTCTACTCCCATCAGTGCTGCTGTGCTTTCCCAACACTTCTACAGCTGCCCTCCTTCCTCCTGAGCTCCAACCCCGAAGGGAACACTTTTGAAACAGCACCCTGTGCACCCATTCCATAAGTATTTATTGAACAGCTATATCTTCTAGGTATCCTGTTAGGCTATTCTGAAGAATTAATTATGATTAAAAACTTAGACCTTGTTTGTGGGAACTCAGACTCTCATTGGAGAATAAGGCCCACAGGTTGGCATTCCCCCTCCTCTTCTCTACAACCTGTATCAGAATGTGTATTCTTAGGACCAAAATAAGTATTTTTATGGCCAATCAATTCACCCTTGAAAGAATTAGATCAAACAACACAAGCATCAGCACTTATGATTGTCCTCAATCTGTAATATTTTCCTTTATCTTCACTAGTCATGAAATGTGTACACCTAGAGAATGGGCCCAAGGGGCCAGGCACGATGGTGTGTTACAAGCTCGAGCTCAGCAATATTTGTGATCGAAAGTTCAAGTCCAACCTGGAATATATAGGTAAGGTTTATCTTTGGAAAAAAAAAAGGGAAGAAACAAAAGAAAAACAGACTGAGCTCTCTAGTACATCTGCTCCTTGTCTGTGTAGCCTTCAACAAATTATGTAACTTCCTCATTCCTCTCAGACAGTGTAAATAAAGAACCCACCATGATAATGATGTAAGCAGGAAGGCTTTGCACACAGTGAGTCCTTAGAAGCCTAGCTCACTCTGATGACAATTAGTTTCGCACATACAAACCGTGCTTTGGGCCTCATGAAGGCTAGCTATGTTGCTGCTGTCTGTGTGTGCCTCCACTGGACACCCGCATAACATTTATCTCCACAGCTGGCCTTGTGGAAGAGAGATCACTTTCTTCACAAATCCTCCGAGCTGATTCAGACATGCCATTGCAGTGCAGGCCAAAATGGTCAAAATTTCTCTTTCTAGAAATTATTTTCTCTTCCAGACTAAAGTTCTCTCTTATGAACAAATAATCTTCAATATCTACCAAACCTTAGTCCTTGAGAAGCATACATGCCCCATTTGCTCAAGCCTCCATAGTCATGCTGTATTTCCCAGTCTGGTAGTCTAACTTCATCCTGTCTACATAGCAGCCTGGCTAGGCTCACAGATGACCCAACTGTTCCTGCCAGTCCTTATTTCACGTGAGGTCCTGTCAATAGCAGCTCCTCCTCAGCCCACATTCCTGCCATCCCTCTCACCGGAGACTCCACTTTCCCCTGGAATTCTTCAACACTGTTCAGAATAGGCTTCCCTGCTTTTCTCTCTCTCTAATTAATATGTATATGTGTTTCAGTGTTTGGGGTTTGTGCACATGGGTGCAGATGTCTTCAGAGGCCAGAGGTTTGGATCCTCTGGGGCTGGAGTCACAGACAATTTTGAGCTACCATGCAAAACCCACCAAAGTTGGGTCCTCTGCAAGAACAGCACAAGCTCTTAACCACTACCCATTATCTCCAGCCACTACCTATGGTGTTTACAGTGACCTCTAATTAAACTCTATGCAATATAACCTGATGTGCCATTTATTTCCCACCAGGAACTTCACTGATGTATATATAAAATGTGTGTTTTATATATAATACATATCAAAATGCACATTTGATTAAATATATTACTAGATTAACATATGCTAATTAATGTATTA